CTGGCCTTTCAAGGTTGTCATGGTTGTAAAATATAGTTAATCATTCAAAAGCTTTTAGAAATTATTGGGCGGGGGAGGGAGGTGTACTATTTATTCTATCTCAGGGGTGGATCTCGTCTCATCTGCAATGAGGGGTGCAGGTCTTCCATAGAAAAAGTTCCTCTAATCGCTACGCGAAAAGCAAAAATATGGTCAATCAGATTATTTGGTAGACTAGTGCTGCAGGAGCTCTCTAGGAGAGTACGCATCCACCGGCACCTCCACGGTAGGACAGTTCCTGTCCTATCTGCGAAACCATTTCTGCCATGTACTATACGTATAATGAACTGTCTTACCCTCGCAGAAAACTTCATAATTTTGTACCTATCAGCAATGTCGTCGTTAAATTCCTGTAATCACAATTGTTAAACATACTGTATGAATTTTAGGCCATTCGTTGCCAAAAAGGATGGGCGTTACAGAGGTTTGAACACTGACAGCTACTACTGTAATTCTCAAAATCGTTAAAACCTTTAACAATCAATAACCGAGACACAGGTCGGAAAAAGTTTTTTTGAAAATCTTTTTGCTTGGCAGTTGACATTGGCCAACAATGGCAGAGTGTGATCAGCTGGCATCGTCACAACACATAAACATTTCAAGAAGCAATAACTGTGGGCAATGGGCGCCATTTTTGGCGTCATGCACGTTGTATCATAAAGCGAGCAGCCAGGAAAAAAGGGTCGGTAGGTAAATAAACCCAACCACATCCAGGGCCGGATTAACCACGTGGCAGATGCGGCATATGCCGCGGGCCTCGCGCTTATGGGGGCCTCGCGCTTTACTGTGCCACTCCCATTTTTACGAGAACACGCCTATTTTCTATTGGGACACGCCCATTTTAGGTGCCTCGCGAATTTAGATGCCTCGCGAATTAGGGACCTCGCGCATTTAGGGCCCCTAGGATTGGCAGTTTACCCCCAGGAAAATATACAATACTCGTATGCATGTAATCTCCAGTTGCGCTGATCTGTTATATATGATCCTGTTTATACTTGTTGACCCAACAACTGGGCCAGGCAGGCAATTGTTTACAATTGATGCCAATCAATTGAAATATTGAAAGCAATTACTTAACAATTTTGTGTGTCTTTGAATTCAAAGGTTTTCATAACGGGGGGTTGGGGCCTCGCGCTAAAATCTGCCACGGGCCTCGCGCGACGTTAATCCGGCCCTGACCACATCCAAAACAACATTAGGGTCGGTAGGGAAACTGGCACAGGAATCGCAGGGCCGCAGGTTAGATTACTGTCAGAGGGCCGATGTGGTTAGGTCTTAAAAATATATAAAAATTCCATCGAGTGAAATGCCCCAAATCCTTACAAAAATCCTAAATCTTACTCTAACCCTAAAGCAAACTCTGAGTTTCCCTCTCTGGCATTCCCTTTCTGCTATTCACCGCGATCAAAGTAAAACGCACCTGGTACACATCAGTGAATCCAACAGTCTCATCGATCTCTGTTCCATCTGGAGCAAGTTTCTAAAACAATCATTACATTAAATACTACAGTTATTATTACCTGCGTGTATATATCACATTTTCGAAGGGATTTGTAGATGGAAATTTCGAGACGAAATTTTATACGTTTATCTAACCAGGAGCAGTTACGATTTTTCGCAGTCGCCATTCTTCGCTCCTGGTTAGGTGTAATAAATGTATAAAAATCCAATCGAAATTTCCACTGGTATATCAAGTGAGATGCCCCAAATCTTAATATATTACGTAAATCACTATAGAGATGCTCCGTGCAGCAGTAAATCGACAGCTGAAACAAAAATCATATCCCAATGACAGACATTTTTCACACATGAAATCGTCTTAGCGTCTTGATCGGTCAGCCGATTTTTCTCACATGTTGAGCGGAATAATCGTCATAGCATTTTTATCGGCTAGTATTTTCTGCCGTCGCAATGTTCTTTTGGCGCTTTCATAATTAAATATAAACATGGCGCCCGGTTTAGTGAAGTCGCTGCACTCATGGACTCGTTCGTCTGCATCGATTCTTCACACCTCGTATAAATAATAATCGTACGCACTCAGAAACTACGACGTGATCTGTATATGTACGGTATACCTGCATGTACCTTGAGCATTATATTTACTTACGATGTACAGTAATTTAGTCAAGTCGGCTAATTTTGGTAGTAGCCTAACATTAGGCTGTTATCAAAAAAGTCATCAAACTTTGACAAGTCATGTGTTAGGTCTATAGATCAACTTTTTCCAAACCAATAAACGTTTGAGATCTACTGTAGCTGTCCAATGATACAGCATCTTTTTTGTAACATTGCAATAAAAATAGTCAAAAACGATGGTTTTAAAATGGTCTGTCGATACCGCACTTTTCCACCATTAAGAATTGGGTACAAAATTTATCATTGCCTGCATGATATAGAAATTATTCTCATTTCCGATAAAAATTTAAGAATTTCGGAATAAAGATACTTAAAGTTTTTAGTTACAGTATTTACCAATTGACCATTTGCGTAATAGACTAAATTTTGAACTAAACAAGTCTAGACAAAAATTTCATCACAGCTTGAAGGAGCATCACAAAATTAGTAATATTCCAAAGTTTCGTTGCAAAATGTTGTAAAATGCGGAAAATATAGCCTTGCGAAATTTGCAATTTTCAGTCATTTTAGATTACAAACGGGGAATTGACAGCCCCAAACCCTTCGAGGCTGTCAATTTCCGGTTTGTAATCTAAAATGACTGAAAATTGCAAATTTCGCAAGGCTATATTTTCCGCATTTTACAACATTTCGCAACGAAACTTTGGAATATTACTAATTTTGTGATACTCTTTCAAGCTGTAATGAAATTTTTGTTGAGATCAAAATTTAGTCTATTACGCAAATGGTCAATTCTAGGTTGACTCGTTCGACTCACTATTTAACAACGAAATTTTGTTGTTAATAAAACATTTTACGAAACAAGACGTTTTCAGAGGGCTTGGGATGCCGAGTGTTTCGAAGATAGCCAATCTCCATTTGAGCAAATAGTCAAATAATATATCTATGTGTCTGTCATGCGCGACAACCTCGTGGGTACAATACCTTGTCCCGAGGTAGGAAAAATAACGTTCTTTCAATGTTCTTCACGATAACACAGCAGCTATTAAAAAGCGAAAGAATAGAATGGAGCGAGAATTCTCAAGTCCAAAAAAAGTGAAGACAATATGGCGGAAATCGAAGAGCTATTTGACGTCAGTTCCAGTCCCTTTCTATTGTTTTTATCTGCGCGGTTAACACGAAGCTGGCAAGGAGTGTGCCGAAATTTCCGATTTTGTCATCGATTAAAAGAATCACACAATGGTTTTATAAACTGATGCAGTAACCAGGCCGGCCGAGAGGGGGGGGGGATTTCCCCTGCCCCTAGTCATTTTTTGGGGTGCCTCAGTCATTTTTCGGGCGAAACATTTCTGTTTTTTGGGCAAAGTACCGAAATTTTGTATGGACAAAAAGTTGGTGAAAGGAGGGAGGGGAGGAGAACGAACAGGGCCCCCGAAATATTTTTCGCCCCGGGTGCCCGAAAAGATCTCGGCGGTCCTGAAAGTAACTTGTGTTTACGACCTCCATAGCTCTTTGACATCAATTTCCGCCATCTTGGCTCCATAGGTCAAATGACTGAAGTTTTTGCCCCAGATATATAGAGCTCACTAGTTCGAGACTCGTCTTGCGCGGGCAAAGCGACCGTAATAGAAAACGGTGTTAAAGGTTGTATAAGCCATCAGTGTGCATGTACAACACCTCAAACTCACCTGACGTAACTTTTGGCACTATCAACCCATACTTTTCCAAACACGAAGACAGTTCCTATAGTAATTTACAGCAACATCTCTTAGAGAACTGAAACCCTTAATAAATTGCTTCGCAAAAATCACAAGTAAGGGGCTGTTAATATGGACCAGGGCTGGCCAGGTTGTAGTTGGGATGATTCGTTTAGAATAAAGCTCTCATCATGGCTTTGATAAACATCCAAAATGAGGTTTCAAGTTGAATTAGCTTAGTTTAGTTTGATTCCAGTAACAGTTAATAAAGTTCATTCCAACGACATTTTATGGTCAGGAAAAATCTTCGTGACACGATTCATCCTGGCTAGCCGGGCTGGCCCACATATGATTGTAAATCGTTGTATACTAGGAGCTTTCCTGTGCATGTTTACGTTGACTTAACAGTTAACTACTACATGAGCCAGTTGCACACGAAGCCTATTTCGTTCAAAAGGTGGATAAATACATATTATATATGTAAATAACCATGCAGCAAAATCCATTTCAATACACCCTTTTCATAAATGGCTGCCGCTACTCAGAAACGAGGCTAGTTGGGCCAATTTATATGCACATAATTTTCAATCGGCAGCCATTTATGAAAAGGGTGTATTGGAAGTGAAACTAACCGCAACATTGTATCGACTTATTTTTAAAAATATTTTTAAATATATATTTCATTTTGTTTGATCCAGGGGTGGATCCAGCAAGGTTTTTCTAGGGGGCTGCTGGGTGAGCAGCCGAGTATTTCTTTATAATTCTTTAGGGGGTGGTGGGAGAGCATTTAAATGAATTGGCTTCCGAACAACTCGGGCTCGCGCGAGCTCCCTAGGAGATCCAGGGGTATGCTCCTGGAAAATGTTAACCCTAGAAATGCCATTTCCTGCGATATGGGCATTGAATTATGAGCTTCAGTTTGACTTCAAAAAAGGAAAAACCTTGGAAATTATGCCACATTTCTGAATTTGATTTTTTTTGCACACCGCCCCCCCCCCCCTTGCACCCCTGTTGACCAAGGTCAACAGGGGTGCGCATCCCTGTGCAACCCCCTATAAATCCACCCCTGGTTTGATCACGAGAGTATGCATGTCCGATGCAGCATATCAAACAATCTGAATCTTGAAAAGGTTCAGAAATCTTTAATCTTTTACACAAAAAAGTAGACATTTTTGAGGTTGCTGGTATATATACTTGTAAACATTTTTACTTGATGATTCTTCATTGTTTGAAAATAAAATTTTGAAAATAAAAATTTCAGAACAGTTGCATGCATGGATCAAACGTAGTAACTAAAGTCCTCTCTATTTCAGACAATAAGCCTTTAATAACTAAAAACGCTACCTGGTTGTGCATAGCTATCTTCGTAAGCATCAAACCAATACATCTTGAACAGTTTCTCTCCTGTACAATGTGAACGTAAAATACAACTTCAAAAAATGCCGTGTTACACCAGACAATTTTTGCAACAACTTGCAACGCCGGCGTTTAACTCTGCCGACATTTTTCATCAAATTCCTTTTATTTTTCATTCCTGTTTAATACATGCATGAGGTAAGGAACCCCATTGAAATGAATATAACTGGAACGGAACCTCCAACCGGAAATTTGAAGCCAAACATGAAGGCTAGTCCCAGTCTTTTCACGCATGCGAAGAGCGCTTAATCAGTCAATCATGACACGCGTGTCTGGAGGTAAGATTTGGCTTCAAGAAAAAGATATAGGCAACACCGCGGAAAACGTCTGCGCATGCGTCATCCTTACTGAAATTTGCTTTGCGAACGTGGTGTCAAGTGTTCCGAATGTTGTCAAAAACTCAAAATGGAAGCAACAAGGAGCGACATGGATGTTTTGCCTTTTCTGTGAAAATACAAGCAGAATAATGAATGTGACTAGAAATAATTATAGTCTACATGTGCAAGAAGTAGTATTATGCAAGAAAATGAACCAAAAGGTGACTGTCGATAAATTTATTGTATAAAACGTTCTTTATGTAACTGAGTCATTTGAGTGTTGTATTAGAAAACGTTTGATATACTCATTCTGATAGAATTAGAATTAACAGTTCATAGATCACCCAAAACGTGTCCGCTCCTGCTTACTTTATATAGCTATTGATCCATTTCGAAATTTTCTGGACGAAAAATACACGCTCAATTCTGAGTATGTGACAAGCCATTTCAAGCGCCATGTTTCTTTACCAATGCCCATGAACTACAGTAAGTAACCACACCCATGGTAACCTACAGTACTGTATTGGACGGCTACTTTTGACATCCTGACTAAAAGCCTGGTTATATACCTACATTTACGGTTAGGGTTATGGAGTCGGTTGTTATGAGCTGGATTAGCGCTAACCCTGGGTTAAAACCTGCTGTTTTAGTTTATGTATTTCTGCACGTAGTTATTTTAAAACTTCAGAGAAGAACACTTCTTCTGATCCAGACAAAATTTCTAAAGAAATATTTCCAAATCTATAAATAAGCAGTTGGGAAGTTCGCTTTGAATTTCAGGTCAACCGAACAACCGGCCCATGGGGTTATACGGTGCGCGTAAGTACTTTCTACGCCTGGTTACAGGATATGAAATTACAACCAGAACTACATTCTCACCTTCTTCATTCGTAGTGAGATTCAAAGATGATGAATCCACGCTGATTTCTTTAAATTCCTGAAAAGCAAATATCGCATTCAAGACCGCTGGCAAATAAAATTCAAAAGCAATGCAAAATTTAACGAACACCATCAAACAACGAACACCATCAACGCATCATTTCGCAATATGTAGTTTCCTGCAAACGATAGGGTCATATAAAGAAAATAATCTCATATAATATACGGCTTACGTTACCTCATTAGGATTGGCATGCATCTGTCCTCTTATGGTTTCAAAAGCTTCGCCTGGTTGAATACTGTCAAACTGGATTCTGGCAAGTTATAAAATTTAGAATTTTTTTTTTAAATTTCCATATATGTGTTGTGTAGTTTAATACGACATAAATAGTAAACATAATAGTTTGTCCAATAGAACATTACGGGAGTATTATAGTTGCATACTTTGCCTTAGTTAAATCGGAAGCTCCTCTGTTTTTACTCTGTGTATTTTCCTCTTTCTAAAACAAAATGTACATGTATTATACCCATTTGTGACTGGAATTCTGGAAACCCGACCACTACAGGTGGAACTGGAAGCGGAGCTGCTGGCGCTGCCGGACATTTTTCAGCACCGCTGATTGGTTTCACAAAACAATAGTGATCCAGGGCTGCAAATTACTGTCGGACAATGTGCGACTAAATTTGGCAAATGTCCGAGCAAAAGTAATTTTGATCGGACATTGGTCAGATCACAAAAAAAATTCTCACATTATACATTTTTTTGCTGTGACAAAATCCGATTGCAAATTCACTCAATTTGCATTTTGCAATAAAATTTACGAGGCATTCTAGCAAGATCATTCCATCTTGATCAACCTTTCACTGACAAAGTTTGCGGATATGATGTCATTATGTGAATTGCAAATTAGTTTTCCTTTGTTTTCTGTACCAAATATTCACCTAATGACATCATATCCGGAAACTTTGACAGTGAGAAAGTTGATCAAGATGAGGTTTTTTACTATAAAGATAAATTACGTTTCTTCTTCGAATGACCCAAGTATTGCACATACCAAAAATTATATTTGCGGTTAGTGACACTTTAAGAGTTTTTTTGTTTAAGAAAATAAGCAGTTTCGTGTTATATCAACTTAGGGTAGTATGGAAATTGACAAGATTGTTTAGAACTTACTTTTTCAGTTTTTAAGGCCTTCTCTTCCACGGCATCTAGTGCTTCCATGTCTTCCGTATCAAAATCATCCACAGCAAAATCTCCCATAACATCCAGACCATTGTCACCGTCAACATTCGGCTTAACATCTTCCTCGATATTTTCGTTATTCTCATGAGTGTCCTCTGCTGAGAATGTTATTTAGAAACAAACAAGTTAAGCGAAACAAGTTCTATGTAAGGTTTTGGCCATCTTGCGTCTGAGCTGCTAAAAGTTTCAATCGCCTGGCAGGCGAGGATACGATAGAATAGATCGAGTGAAACAGACTAGACATCGACATATAGACGACCCAATAACTGTCAACGACCTATCTTTTGAAGTCGTGCAATCTGCAAAATGTGTGAAGTCGTGCAATGTGCAAATAATTGGTGTAACTATTAGGGAAGATCTTAAATGGAATGATCATGTAACCGAGATTACCCATAAGGCATCAAAGCGGCTGTATCTTCTAAGAATATTAAAAAGAGCAGGTGTGGACGTAAATGCTTTAGTGCAATTCTACTGTACGTGCATCCGATCAACTCTAGAATATGCTTGCCAGACATTTCATAGCAATTTGCCAGAGTATTTGTCTAATCAAATTGAAAGAATACAGAAACGAGCTCTTCGCATGCTCTACCCAGAGGAACGTTATGGTGACGCGTTAAAATTAACAGGCCTACAATCCTTGGCGGATCGAAGAGACAGACTATGCAGAGAACTTTTTAACTCAGTATCGATTAACAATAACCATAAATTAGCGGATTTACTACCACCACTAAATTCAAATAATATAAATCTTAGGTCCACTTCAAAATATGACTTGCCGGTTTTGAAGACGAATCGTTTTAAAGACAGTTTTATTAACTATTACGCTTCAAAAGTTCAACGATAAGACCCTAATAAATATTTATAGTAGATATTTTTAATATAATTCATATTCTTAATATAATTCATACATATCGATATTCTAATGTAAGTTTTAGTATTGCATGCATAATAGTTAGTAGAAGTAGGATTTAAATTACTTTGTAATTGACACGTAATTCAGTCCCCGGACTGCGATGTGAAAATTTTAATAAACTTTTCCTTTCTCTCTCTCTCAGAAATATGAAAATGCAAAACCGCTAATCTTAAATGCAACGCAGTCCATTAGTCGTAATCTTACAGTCTAGGGTTAGGGTGATAAGAGTTTAGGTTTCGACCCTAACCCTAAATAGATGCCTGTGGAGGAGGCTATATCAGGAACCTTTGGGGGGGGGGGTTATTAGAGAATCAATCAATCCAATCAAAACACGTGCGTTTTTGTGCAAATGGGAGCTTAAAAGAAATATAAAGGGCTCAATAGAGAGGGGACGTGATAAAGCGGGGGGATTAAAAGAGGGAGGTTTAATAGATTTCCGTATCTATGGGGGTTAACAGTTAATAGAGAGATGGCGGTAAGTAGCATTCATGATTACCACAAGCAGCATTACAGTACTTTAAGCAGCAGCCATAGCCTACATGACCCGCGCCCAGCAAGATATTCAACTTACACGGACTTCGTATAGGGCTGGCTGGCGCTAGAGGAGGGTGTGGGGGGTAGAACACCCCCTCCCAGTCATCAGGTAGTCGGCAAAATATTGAATCTCAGTCGGCAAAACATGGATTTGGATAGGAAGGGAAAAAATAAAATAGTTGAGTGACACCGATTAAAAATTAAGAATGATAGCTAAAATGTGGAGAAATTTACGAAAAAGTTAGGAAAAAATGGAACGAACAACGGTAAAATAAGATGAACAAATATGCTGTCCGGGACATTTTTGATGTTGCGTCCCCCCTCAACTTTGGCCCTCAAACAACGCTGGCCAACAATTGTGGGGAAAGAAGTATTAATTAGTGGTTGTAGTGACTCGGCAAAATTTGCCTTGATAACTCGGCAAAATTCACTTACACCCCTCATTCAAAGAGGTCTAGCGCCGCCCCTGACTTCGCACTGTGCCACGTATCTAGAATGTTCTCTCTATGAAACATCTATGTAGATATTTAGTAAACAGCAATACCCACCAGCATAATCCATGACTCCATCATCGCCATTAAAACAAGCTGTTTCCATTGATTCTTCTTCATCTTTCATTTCAATCTTTACCTCTTGTTTGAAAACATTTGATGACTGAGGCGTTATTGCTTTCCTCTCTTTCGCTGCTTTAGACACCAAAGGAGGTGGAGTTGAGATCTTTGAAGCTCGAAGAACAGGTTCACTATACGCTTCGTTATAATACGATGGCGCAGCTGGTGGCTACAAATATTAAGTATTAAACAATTACTGGATACGACTGATATTTAACAATTATTCATCGAAGTGGAGGTAAATAGTGCAAGGATATTCACCGAAGCGCGAAGACTTGCACTGCAGTATTCACTTACCACCTTAAAGTGATTACTTCAAGAAAGTGATTAAAATACTTGTTGTTATCAATTTTCCAGAAAATCGGTACCTTGGAATTTTCCTGCTACTAATAACTCGTCGAACAACGATGGGAAGAGGGTCTGTAGCTCAGTTGGTCTAGAGCATTGGACTACTATCCCAAAGGTGTCGCGGGTTCGATTCCCCCCCGCGGTCAGGCAAACTTTTTAGCTTGCCCGGTGTGGATGCACACTCAGAGTAACATCGTAAACATCATATTCACCTGAGTACATAACACCAACACACACAAAAAGGATCATATCTTAGAATATCATTGATATCGAAGGAACTAGACTCAGTTCCGAAATATCATCAACCCGAACCAGGGCTCGAAATAACGGCTGATCAACGATCAATGATCGGCAGGAAATTGTTTTTGATCGGCGAAGAAGCAACGTTGCCGTTCATCTTGATCGGCAAGAAATATATTTGACCATTGTCTGAAAGACATGCTTGCCTGTATGCGGTAAAAGACAGATAAAAGTAATATAAAACACATTCAAAAACATGTGAAAAGTAGTAGGATTTTCTCTTTTAATATAAAATAATAAGTTTTAGTTCTTAATTGATAATGCTGCTGAGTTTCTTGCTTTTGTGTGAAAAAATGCAATAACTATAATTAATTAAAACTTGAAAAGTGTTACTCTGTTACTATTGGTATTTATTATATAAGTCTATAAATGTCGTAGATTTAATAAACTTGAATTTGAAATGAAGTTAAACTTCCTGTTCAGATGTGTATTGGCATATTTAGAACTTTTTCAAGGAAACTCAGGCAAATGCTCCTGATCGGTCAGATTTTTATTTGATCGGCAAAAAGTCGTGATTGCCGATCACCATGATCGGGAACGTTGGGAACGTTATTTCGAGCCCTGCGAACCGACTTGACCACGTAGCTCAGTTGGTAGAGCACTGGACTAGTATCCCAAAGGTCGCGGGTTCGATTCCCACCGCGGTCAGGCAAACTTTTCAGCTTGTCCGGTGTGGATGCACACTCAGAGTAACACCACAAACATCAAGACATACAAATTTTCAAATATCTTAGTTCAAAGTGTACGTACTTGCCCTCCCTACCTGCTCCATACTATAAACTAAAGATTTCTCGGGAAATCTTTAAAATTCGTTATTACTTGTTTCATTGTTAGTTATTATTATCATTATCATTATTAAAACATCTTTATAAATGGAAGGTAATCAACTATAAAATGTTTACAAGGTTTTCGTTGCTTTTCATTAGGCCGTGTTTGCGTACTAATGACCTGTCAAAAACAGATTTTGACCGAGCTAAAATCAACATGTCATTTTGAGACCTAAAAATTCGTGGACGATTATTGTCAGATTCCCTGACTAAAAGCCTGACGTGAGTGCATCGAAATTACAGCATTACACTGGAACGTTTTCTTACCTGCAATCGACGTGGCATTGCTTTTCTGGGGCCAGCACTTTTTGGTGTCCTAAAACACGAAATAAGCAGAACTAATATAGAAAGTCTTTTTTTGAAACACATAAAGGCATTTTTCTAAAATACTACAATACACTAATTAAAACAAGGAATAATTGAAAACGATGTCAGGACTCAGGATGGTACAGTACAATAAATTCTTCATCGCGAACTTTTATCATAAAATGTTTGAATATATAGTCCAGATATATTATGGACGATGGCATTTCGTCACGAAAACAAGCTGAAGCAGATCAAAACCTTCTACAGCTATGAGCTGGTAGGACAGGGGGTGTCAGTGTTCAGCACTCACACATACTGTAAGCGGCCCTTAAAAAATAGTGCATTCTGTTATGTAAACAATACTACTGATGAATGATGATCACTTGGTGTGACATATTAAACAACACAATGCCCACGATATTGCATGCTTCCAGTAATTTGGTAAATAGAGGAAATTACACGGCGGCGCGAAGATATGACCTTTTATCTTCGAGTGGTGAAAACAATATTATACGAACGAGCGCAGCGAGTGAGTAAAATATTGTTTTTAACACGAGAAGATAAAAGTCATATCTTCAAGCCAACGTGTAATCTGCCAGATTTCGCGATTTCATAATGACGTCATAATATCAGTCGACCGAGTTAAGGTGACATCATTCATGTCGATTATTAACGATAATTTCCAACGTAACATGTTACTGCAACCAAAGATCGTTAAAACCACTAATAAATGGCACGCTTCATGCATTAATTTAACATATTGCATTAAAACGCAACGTGTGTCAACGTGCAATGCATATAATTTTTAAAGTGTGTATTTTCTCAACAATCGGTTTTAGACAATCGGAAATATAGATAATTCTATCGATTCCGATTGTCTACCGATGAGGCAAAAATCAGCCCGATGCAGATACCGATTATCGGTCAATCAACCGCATGCAAGTGCTCAAATTTGTTGACCCATACAGATGAACAAAATTTGTACTTTGCGCACTTGTTCAAAGGCTAGCATACTAGCTTTAGCAAAGTTGCCTATATATATATATATATATAGACGAAAAGCATACCAGTTTTTAACATACTAGCAAGTGTATTTGTCATACTAAAATTTGGCAAAGTTGCGTATACAGAAGAGCAAAATTACAACTCGTCATACGAAAACCTGTCATAAGAAAACTTGCTCGACTGTAACTGGCTTAAAATTTATGTACCTGCCACCCTGTCTGATAGGTCCCTTAGCTGGGGTCTTGATAACAGGTTTCTAGAAAAAAGAAATTGGTAAATTGTGCCAAACATATATAATTGATACTGTACATTGATAGAAACTTCGCCATCTTACCGGCACGTTCATGTCTTCCAGGATACCATTAAGTAACTCATCATCTTCAATGTTCACATTTTTATTCTATATATACGAAAACAACATATATGTATTAGATAGCAAATTAGCAAAATATATATGTCATTTACCGACTGGGAGGTCCGTACTGCAAAATATTTTCCCGAGGTCTGAGACGGAGGGAAAATATTTTTCAAGAACGGACCAACCTCAACGGTAAATAACGTATTTATTTTTTGCTCGATGCTTAATTGAATTCCTAAAAACTCCAGTGTTGCGAACTACATTTGAGATCAGTTGTGTCTGTTACTTTAATCCAGTGCTTTAATCCAAGCATGCATGGCATGAAACGACAAGATAAAAAGCCTTTATTTTTTATGCAATAGATGCCTTTCTACTCAACAAGTCAATAAAAAGGTAAAGCGATTAAAACTATTTATTTTCCTAATCATTAAATGTTCTTTCGACACGCAACAACAAATTGTACTTGCCGAAAACATTGTGTTCATGACAACATTTACAAAAATATATGACTGAAATAATTCTAGAAATCATGTATAAAAACTGCCGTTTTAAAGTATTTTTTTTTAAATTTTATGCTTGAGTACAAGTCCTTCGTTCCAGCATTTATATTTTAACGTATATTTTTCGAAGTATAGCTGAATATATGCTGAGCATTTGGAACTAAACATTTAGCACTGATATTTCGATACCTATACTGTACGTCAAAGAAATACTTGGGGTTTTTTTCATTTAGGTCGGAAAAAAGAACATTTCGGGCTTGACAATAAATCTATTGAATCGCTTCAGCTTATTTTTTATCTTTAGTATCCATAGGCAGGATTTTTCAACTTTTTTGATCAGTACTGCCAAGAAATAACTTATCAAAAACCGCGTCCAAGACGCGGGCATCTTGCGTCCACTGTGCGTCCACGGGCGCCCGCGGGTGCGTCCGTCCTGCGGGCGCCGTGCGTCCATCGTGCGTCCACTGTGCGTCTGCGGGCGCTTGCGGGTGCGTCCACTGTGCGGGCGCCATGCGTCCGCTTTGCGTCTGCGGGCGAGGACGCAGCTGAGAAAGAGTTCTATTCGTAGATCGTCGGAAATTATCGCGTTTCGCTTTTCATAAACAAACCGTGGGCGTCGGAAAATATTCATGTTAGCGATTTCACACCACGTTTTATGCTTATACACAAGCGTTGCAGACCTAGAATCCTAGATATTTATATTTCTAACATTAAACTTACCGTGAATTTTCAGAATTTGTGCTTCGTAAAGTTCCTTTTCGTATTTGATCTCTACTTTCGCACCTTCGTATAACGTTTGGTTTAAACCCAGTAATCTTTTAACGTTGCCGGTTGGCAAAATGCACGTATGGTTTTATATCTTCTTCGAAGAAACCCAAAATACGTTTTGGTTGACAAGTTAGCGATCTATACCTCATTTCATTAGTCTGATAGTAATACGGATCGAGTGATGTTAGTCTGAGCTCTTCACTTCAGCTTTAGCGAATTATACTGCAACTTTGAAAATCAAGCGATGAGTCACAGTCATTGAACCGTGTTGAAACACAAAGACTGTTTCCTGGACATGTAAAGGTATTCCATTAAGGGATTAAGAGAAGTCATTTATCCAGAAATTATATGGTAATTATCAATTTATATGACATATCACCATGTGCATTTACTGCTTTGGAAAAACAACACAAACTTGTTGCTGGAAATAAAATTATATAGTGGCTCGTAGTAATGGTATTTTATATGAAAAATCAAAAGCACTATGTATATTGTAAATGAGCATCTTCGTTTTAATATACTGACGAGTTACGGAGACATAACATTCAAATACAGAATTGCATATCAACTAATCAGCAATCTTCTACGAGGTAAGTCTGAATTTGAGTAGCAAATGAATGTGTTGCGAGATATATACTCGTTGTAGTCGTGATCTCACTGAGTTTAGTATATGTGGCTACATTATATTAATATATAGTTTATGTCTATTTTACGCTCCAATATACAGTCATATACGCTTCAATCGCGACTCAATTACGTCTGATTGCATTGTGAAAGCACTACGCTTACTGTAGTATAACGTATAACATTATAAAATGGTTATACTAAGTGTAACGCTTAGGTTAAATGAAACTCGATTTCGGATTCAACTTTTTATTCTTTGCTTCTCCGATCAGTGACACTGATCTGTATTCTCACGACAAACTACGAGTATGATGCAAATATTAGTTCGTTTTTCCGATTATGTTACGACGACTGCGTCCAAGCGGACGCAGTTTTTAACTAGAGGCCGGACGCGGGCGCTTTGGAGGCAGGACGCGGGCAGAGCAGACGCAAGACGCGGGCGTCGTGGAGGCCGGACGCGGGCGCTCTGGAGGCAGGACGCGGGCAGAGTGGACGCAAGACGCGGGCGCTCTGGAGGCAGGACGCGGGCAGACGCGGGGACAAGTTATTTCTTGGCAGTACTGTAAAGTGTCTTCACTCCTCGGTTTGTTTTGGCGCGAAACGCGCGAGGTCCGTATTGTGTGATACGGACCTCTCGTCAACCAATCAGAACGCTTAATTTACGTTACGGACCGGAAAAAATAAATATATATACTGTATGTTATTTCGGCTGGAAGTTCCGTACTAGGGGGTGCGCACCCCACCTATAGTGGTGTCCAGCAACACCTTAAAAAATCTGCTTGACCAAACTTTGTCTGCTTTTCGAGTAGTGATTACCGGAACTTCTACCTTTAGCGCGTGTCGATTTCTTGAAACGATTTAATTAATTAATTCTGAATACAAAATATTCAGAATACTTTACCTGTAGTTGAATGTCATGGTTAAATATGTCTGTAGACATGTCGAGGTTGTTATACAGCCATATTTTCGAATATACCACTACTGTACTTAAACAACCAAATTTACTGTACTGTGCTACAGCAACTGTCCAGTCAGGCATATACTGTACGTGATAAAAAGCACTGTAAAACTTTACAAACAGAAGATAATGTAAAACGTAACAGAACGGCGAACATGCAGATTCGGCCATCTCAAATAATGGTAATGTTGGGGACATTTATTCTCTTCTCCTTTCTGTTCAACGTACCGTAAAATTTTTGGTATTAAATATTAATTTCTAATCAGTGTAACTCATATATTTTCAGTTTTTTCCCTTCCTATCCAATTCAAGTTTTGCCGACTACGAAAACAATTCCCCGACTGGGATTCAATAATTTGCCGAATGTCTGACGATCGATACAACAAAGTCGACCAGCATGTGTGGTGTCGTGGGTTCAAAATCCTTGGTCGGACCTCTACTCAAGGTCTTAAAATAATTGAGGAGAAAGTGCTACCTCTGCATTGACATCAGTAAATGGTTAGATTTTCGGGTTAGGACGTTAAAATCGAAGGTACAGTACCTGGGATCCCCTATCCGTATCAAATGGGCAATAGCCTGTTATCACTTCCCGTTAATTACTTAATTTAAAGTAAACAACTTTAAAACACTCGCCTGGTCAGACTTGGTTGATTTTGATCCCATGAGGAACATACTCTTGATGGTTTTTGGCTGAGCAGTAGGCTTCTTCACATTCTACAATCATGGTCAAATAAAATAGATGCTAAACATGTTATACTGTAAACATTTGGAAAGACACCTAAATGGGTTTAACAAGGACTGTGCACTGTACTTTGTCTTTGTTATCATTATAGTTATGTATGCACTTACGATTTTCTTTTTCTGCCCTCTTTTTGGAGCTACAAATGAAACATTACGATCAGTTGAAACATATACACACTCACTAGCTTTAAGGCTTCATTATAGTTCCCACGTTTAAAATGTGCATGACTTTTCAGGGAAGGTGAAAAAAATCTCAGGAGGTGCGAAACTCCCGTCAAAATCCGAACATGTGAAGATTTGAGATATGGAAATTTTGAGATATGGTCATTGGTCACCGTGCATGGAAGCAAATGAGAAATGCCAATTTCGGTTCGCGATCCTTTTTCTCAAAATGAATAGAAAACTTTCTATCTCGCATTGGCGGCTCCCGCTTGCATTTCGTTCACAACAATAAAAAGACGCGAGTTTTTTAAATTTGTACAATACGAAGTGCTATTTTTCGTTCGAGATGCAACTACTAAATAGAGAATAGATCTAGTAACATGGTAGCCTGTGTCATAAACCCTTACAATGGACCTATTCCCTAATGAACAAAATTTTGATCTAGACAAGTCTAGAGAAAAATTTCATCACAGCTTGAAAGAGTATCACAAAATTAGTAATATTCCGAAGTTTCGTTGCGACATGTTGTAAAATGCGGATAATATAGCCCTGCGAAGTTTGCCGTTTTTCAGTCATTTTGTATTACGCACGGGAAATTGATACCGCTTTCTGAAAAAAGGTATCAATTTTCCGTGCGTAATACAAAATGACTGAAAACGGCAAACTTCACAGGGCTATATTATCCGCATTTTACAACATTTCGCAACGAAGCGTGATGCTCTTTCAAGCTGTGATGAAATTTTTCTCTAGACTTGTCTAGTTCAAAATTTTGTTCATTAGGGAATACGTCCATTAATTAGTAAGGTCTGTGAGCTTTGGCGTGCTTGCTTGTTCCAACACAAACGGCCACTATTTTGAACTTTATTTTAGACTTAGTCAGTGTTTAATTTTATACAGTTTTTCTCTTTATTTATTACGTATTAACTGAAGCTGCTCAGATCTCATTCTCTGAAAGTTTCTCGGACTTACGTGACGCTCTTTAATTTGAGAACCGTCAACAAATTCAAACAGCTTCGTGTGCACGAACAGAACGTAATCAAAATCATATTTTTTTCTTTATTCTTTCTTAGTGACATTGTGTGTCCACACATTCGAGTTCGTAGGGAGTTTAAGATGCCGACAACGAAGAACGGGTACGGATTACGGTTGAAAGCTTGTTTTCGCATTGCTTTAACAAAGGCAGACAAAATTTACATATCCCCAGAGCATACTTTTCACCGTAGCGACCTTGGCTAAAGCGTAAAAATCACATTCTTGTGTTGTAAAACAGTAAAACAGAATCAAGAACATACTAAGCACCGGAACTGAGTACGCAACGTTGCAGGTTGGAGAGTATTTTTTATAAAGAAATGATGAAAATTAAAGGCTGATTTCCACTGTTGCGTTTTTCATACACGTACTGTACGTATACGCACGTAAAACTTTAAATCCGTTAAATGTTACTTATGAAATAACCAAATAAATAAAGCAACAGAATTTAGTGTTCCGCAAGTTTTAGTATGCATTTAACTTATTTGTAAAATATTTAAAAAATAGAAGGATTCAAAGTTTTATGTGCGTGCGCGTGCGTACGAAAAACGCAACAGTGGAAATCAGCCTTAAAAGATGAAACTTACCGAACACAAAGCCATGCACATAAAACATATTTGGGATAAATCGGTTATGACAAGCATTTAGTATTTGCATACATATAACAAAAACAACTTTCAATAAACCGTAATCAGTAGTTCGTCGTCAAGATCTTAAACTCCCTTGTAACAGCTGTAGTTAGTGAAGTCGCGGAGTTTCATGTACTGTAGTTCTGACGTATGTAAAATAAAGTCAAGTAAAGATTAGTTTAAAAATAAGGAACAGTTTGTGGTTACAGCATGCATTTACTGTAATTTTTGTTTCGGAGCTTTCGGCCCATGTATACTCGGACCGTCTTCGGAGAAAAAGTGAACATTAGATTACGTCAGTAAATCAATTATTGCGTCAGTAAACCAAACTGTCATTAGATTATGTCAGTAAAATTGTTCCTTATTTTTACTGAGGCCAAAAAAAGAATGTGGGTTTCCGGTTTCCCGACCCTACCTAGCTTTTGGACGTCGAAATCCCGACCCTAAACTTTTTTATTGCATCATGCTTGTAAGTGTTTCCACTTCGAGGAAAACGTTTGTGGAAAATTGAAATTTGAGGCAATATTAGGGAAATATATCTTTGGATGTGGAAGCACTGACTAAACAAAATGGCGTCCGGTTGTTAGGAAAATTTAAAAAAAAGTTAAAACAGACCTACCCTAGTCCTACCTAAGTTTCTATAAGAAGAAATAGGAAACCCACATGGGTTTTTTTTGCCTGAATGCCATGCAAAGCTTTAAAGAAAATATTAGTTTGTTCTTTTACCGAAAGTGACGGGTCAAAATCAGGGCCGCCGAGAGGTTGGCGGGGGCCCGGGGCAAATTTTTTTTTAGGGGCCCCTATCAAAAAATTTTTTCCCGGAAAAATTTTTTCCCGGAGAACAACCTCCCCCACGTCGCCAAAAAATTTTCGGTCAGTGTACCATTTTAGGGGTCAAAATTTTTTTCCGGAGTACAAAATTTTTCCGGACGAGTACGTTGCAATTGCTTTCGAGGGACTTTATCTCATTTTTTCATGCCAAAATTCGGTGCTTAGACCAAAAAAAACAGATCTCTTGTCCTTTGCGCGGAAATATTTAACACACAAAAAAGGCTGGGGCCCAACAAAAATTTTTCAGGGGCCCCCAGCAACTCGGGGCCCGGGGCAATTTGCCCCCGCCCCCCCCCCTGCCCCCCCTCTCTGCGGCCCTGGTCAAAATGACCGGCAAGGCAAGAATTTGACCGGACAACTCTGCATTCTGGCCGGACATTGTCCGTTGACCGGCTGTTATTTCGCGCCCTGTATGTATGGGAGACAAATAAACAAAAAGAGTGACAGTTGAGGTTTTGAATGTTGTACTAGTGTACAGAGTAGTACTTACAGTACAGTATTTACTGTTATATTTACCTCCAGTTGCTGGCTTTTTATCCAAATCCTCGTCAAATATTTCACGACCATCGTCAGTATACCCAGTAGTTCCATCTAATATGACCAGAAAAAATTATGTCTCTTATATAATTGTTGATTAATGTTATCAAGGGCGCACATCAGGAGGGGTGTGGGGTTGTGACCCCCCTCCCCCCATGTTTTGTGAAATGTATCTAAAAAGTCGGTCCCGAAACCTGAATGGGACAAAAAAAGTCGGTCCGGCTAAAATCTGAAAGACATCATTTTGTGTCGAAAAAAAGAAATAGGTGGACATTTTGGAAATGAAAATTGCCTAAAAATAACAAAAACGCATACACAAACCAAGAGATCAATCATATTATACTAGCAACAAATAATCAACTTTCGCGTTGCAACAGTTCAGCCAACGTAATGCGATCAGATTACCTCAAGCCCCCGCGGTGCAGTTAAAAGGCGCATTGTTAGTCTTGTCGCACAAACTGAAAGTCTGAAACTTTGAAAGGCAGACGTTCAGCTGCGTAGCCAAGAGGGGGGGCTCGGG